GGCTGACGCCTGTAATCCCAGCACTTTGGGAGGCCGAGGCGGGTGGATCACGAGGTCAGGAGATCGAGACCATCCTGGCTAACATGGTGAAACCTCGTCTCTACTAAAAAACACAAAAAATCAGCCGGGCGTGGTGGTGGGCGCCTGTAGTCCCAGCTTCTTGGGAGGCTGAGGTAGGAGAATGGTGTGAACCCGGGAACCAGAGCTTACAGTGAGCCGAGATTGCACCATAGCACATAGCACTCCAGCCTGGGTGACTGAGCAAGACTCCATCTCAAAAAAAAAAGGGGGTATACAACAGTCAGGTGCAGTGGCTCATGCCTATAATCCCAGCACTTTGGGAGGCCAAGGCGAGTGGATCATCTGAGGTCAGGAGTTCAAGAACAGCCTGGGCAACATGGTGAAACCCCATCTCTACTAAAAATACAAAAAATTAGCCTGGCATGGTGGCATGTGCCTGTAATCCCAGCTACTCAATAGGCTGAGGCAGGAGAATCACTTGAACCTGGGAGGTGGAGGTGAACTAAGTGAACTGAGATCTTGCCACTGCACTCCAGCCTGGGTGACAGAGTGAGACTCCATCTCAAAAAAAAGTTATAAAACAAAAAAGTTTTATAACAAGCACTTCACAAAAGAGAAAAATAAACATGAAAAGGTGTTTGATCCCATCAGTAATCAAAAAGCACAAATTAAAACTACAATGAGACACCACTGGACAAGCATCAGAATGGCTAAAATTAAAAGTGACCACGAGGATGTGGAGAACCTCAAACACTGGCACGAATGTGAACTGCTCCCTCTTTAGAAAACAGTCTGGCATGTATCCAGTAAAACTCAAAGACACTCACACCTCGGGACGCAGCAGTGACGCCTTTTTTAGGCAATGCAATGCCAAAAATGAAAGTTCATTTTGAGGGAAAGTAATAAAGCGAGATGAACAAAGTCTCTCACTGCATCTTACCACATTTTTCATTTCCCTTCATATTTCAGGGGCTTTGAATTCCTTTGAAAGTTGGAAGAAGGTGCACACCTGCATGCAGAGTTTCCAGTCTTTTTTTCTTTTTCTTTTTTTTTTTTTTTGAGACGGAGTCTCGCTGTGTCTCCCAGGCTGGAGTGCAGTGGCGTGATCTCGGCTCACTGCAAGCTCCGCCTCCCGGGTTCACGCCATTCTCCCACCTCAGCCTCCCAAGTAGCTGAGCCTACAGGCGCCCGCCACCACGCCCGGCTAGTTTTTTTTTGTATTTTTAGTAGAGACGGGGTTTCACCATGTTAGCCAGGATAGTCTCGATCTCCTGACCTCGTGATCCACCCGCCTCGGCCTCCCAAAGTGCTGGGATTACAGGCTTGAGCCACCGCGCCCGGCCTCCAGTCTTTTTTTCTTTTTTGAAGGAAACAGGGTCTCACTACGTTGCCCAGGCTGGCCTTGAACTCCTGAGTTCAAGAGATCCTCCTTGCTCAGCCTCCCCAGTAGCTGGGACCACAGGCACAGAGTTTGGAGGGTTCCCTGATGTTCTGACGGCTACCTCTGGATCCTGGTATCCAGGGATTCCTGTCTTAAAGGTACAGAGCTCCAGGAGCTAAAGCAGTGCACTCAAGCTATTCAACAGGTCCTGGTGGAACTGGTAAGGAAGGTTACCCCACTTCCAGAAAGAATACATTTATCCATTTTACATTCTCCTGCAGGTGGAGTCTAGGGTCACCCTGAACACATGATCCATCTATAGATGCCCCTTGTCCTCAGTGAATAGCATTAGAGGCCTCCCAAACAGATTCGCTCAGAGAGGCAGAATTCCAAACTCAGGTATACGTCTCAGTGTAAATTCATAAACTGGCATTTATTAAATGGACTTATTAAAACCAAAAATAAGTGGGGAATGATTAGCAAGAGCTATCAAGTCCAAAACAATTATTTTGTGGCTGAGAACACTAAGGACAGTGTGAGATAAATCCACTGATCAAACTGACCAGTAGATCTCAGACCAGAACCGAAGACTCCTGCCTCCCAAGCCAGGAGTGTCTCCCTTTTACCTATCAGCTCTCCCTCTGGCCACCCATCCATTTTCCAGGGCAGCTCCCTCAATGCCAATATTCCCAGTCCCTGGGTCTCCCAATGACTGCAGATCTTATAAAGGTTAACCAGGCAGCCCCAGGTTAATTGGGAGTAGGACTGACAACATAGAGCCCTAGCGCAGGGAAACAGAAGGAAGGTAGGGAAGTGCAGAGAGGAAGCCCTTGTAGCAAGAGCAGTTTAGTCATCAAAACAAAACAAAGCTGGCCAGTGTGGTGGCTCACACCTGTAATCCTAGTGCTTTGGGAGGCTGAGGTGGGTGACTGCTTGAGCCCAGGAGTTCAAGACCAGACTGGGCATCACAGTGAGACCCTGTCTCTACAAAAATATTAAAAAATCACCACCACCACCCCACCCAAATTTAGTAGGGTATGGTGGCATGCACCTGTAGCCTCAGCTACTCAGGAGGATAATGTGGGAGAATCACTTATGCTCAGGCGTTGGAGGCTGCATTTGTAAGGTCTTATCATGCCATTGCTCTCTAGCCTGGGCAACACAGTGAGACCCTGTTTCTTTTTTTTTTTTTGAGACAGAGTCTTGCTCTGTCACCTAGGCTGGAGTGCAGTGGCGTGATCTCAGCTCACTGCAAACTTTGACTCCTGGGTTCAAGCAATTCTCCTGCCTCACCCTCCCGAGTACCTGGGATTACAGGTGCGCATCATCACGCCTGGCTAAGTTTTATATTTTGTTTGTTTTGTTTTTTTGGAGATAGAATCTCACTCTGTCACCCGGGCTGGAGCACAGTGGTATGATCTTGGCTCACTGCAACTTCCGCTTCCTGAATTCAACCAATTTTCCTACCTCAGTCTCCCCAGTAGCTGGGATTATAGGTGCCCGCCATAATCCTTGTATTTTTAGTAGAGATGGGGTATCACCATGTTGGCCAGGCTGATCTCAAACTCCCGAACTCGTGGCCCGCCCACCTCGGCCTTCCAAAGTGCTGGGATTACAGGCATGAGCCACCCCGCCCAGTCTGAGATCCTGTTTCTAAAGCAAAAGAAAACACAAGTGTGAAAGGGGAAATGATGTTGGTTTGTCAGCCAACACAAAATCAGTAATTGTCTTTTTGTGGTCAGAATCCTAGCTCTCTCCTCAGGGTCCGGCAGAGAGAAAAGGCCAAGAAGACTGGTGAACATGGAGTATTCAAGAAAAAAAAAACTTTTGCAGACACCACTTTTCAGCTTTAATTAGCAACTGGTGAAACCAAGGTGTCAGCTGGGAAAAAGAAAAACAGGGAAAAAAAATCAGTGACTGTGCTGTAGCTTTCAGTTACATACCAAATTAGTTCTCTTTCCAGAAATCCATAGAGTACACAGGGACGATAAGCAAAGTCGTATGTGTACCTCAGAGAAAACACTAATGAGACCTAAGCAGAGACCACTTACAACTAAACCCACTGCTGCTTATCTCAGATGGTTTTCCATCCCTGCCCCTTTCTATGGATTGAAGTCTTGAAACTTCTCAGTACAACCCTATTCTGAAGTTCTCAGCACAGCTAAGAAGCAACACCTATGGTATGTCCCTGTTCAGATACCCTGGCATCGGCCAGACAGGATAACCCAAACACCAGTGAGCCCAGGGCCAAGGCGAAGACTCAGCTACTAGCAGCCCCCACACCCTACAGTCCTCCTCAGCAGCACCTACCACCCCACTGCCAATGCTGCCAAGTGTGCCACTGCCCCACCCTTGATCTGCAGTCCGAGCACACTGTCAGAAAATGCTCAAGTGGCATCTTTCGGAGGCAAACCGGCACTTAGGATGCTGACCAGACTCCCAGACCTGCATGTACCATGAAACAGGTCTACTAGAAATAGCTTCTCCATGTGTCCTCTGACCAGACAAGGCCTCCCTCCTGGCAGGCAGGACACGCAACACACACGTCCCCTGCAGTCTGCAACTGGTGCCATGGGACAGGGACACAGGCAGCCTCCTGGACTCCGGCCTCCCTGGCATCAGGACACAGCAGGCATCAGGTGGCAATGCAGGGAGCCTGCATCCCGAGGCCATGCTCAACAGCAGGTGCTTTTAGAACTTGAGAGATTTCCCACTGGCAGTGCTGGGCCAATGTTCTTTCCTTTCAGGTGGGAGGGCATAAACTCACAGTGACTGGGCACCATTCTAGGTGTCAGGCACTCAAACATGGCATCTCTTGTAAGATCTCTTACACCATGCCCTACTGACATGAGTGACCTGTCCCCATTTCATGGAAAGTGAATGAGGCTAATGAGGCTAAGTCACATGCCCAAGGTCACACAGCTGGTGTAAACTGCGTAATCAGGGACTGAAGGCAGATGTGGGGGCCTTGAGATTTTCCCCAAACCACTTTTGTGCCCAGGTGTGGCAAGGTCAGATTACACAGACCTACTCCATAGGCAACAAGGCCATAACAAATTTTTCCTGAAACATTTTTCATTTTGGGCTCTCATCACTGAACGCATGTACTTCTTTTTTTTTTTTTTTTGAGACGGAGTCTCACTCTGTCGCCCAGGCTGGAGTGCAGTGGCCGGATCTCAGCTCACTGCAAGCTCCGCCTCCCGGGTTTACGCCATTCTCCTGCCTCAGCCTCCCGAGTAGCTGGGACTACAGGCGCCCGCCACCTCGCCCGGCTAGTTTTTTTTTTTATTTTTAGTAGAGATGGGGTTTCACCGTGTTAGCCAGGATGGTCTCGATCTCCTGACCTCGTGATCCACCCATCTCAGCCTCCCAAAGTGCTGGGATTACAGGCTTGAGCCACCGCGCTCGGCCGCATGTACTTCTTTATTATTGTTGTTGTTACAGTTTCTTTCTAAAAGCTCAAATCCACAAGATGCATGAACTTCTTTAGCATAAGCTATAACCTTGACCTGTAGTCTGTGACCAAGGCTGTCAGATGCTGGCACTGGCCAGGGACCCACACCCAAGAAAGAGCCGACTCTCACACTCCAACACTTACCACAACAGAGTCATTGTGAGTCAGGTCAACAACCACGGGCTCTAAAGATTCACAGGTGAGGTCCACAATTTCATCTCCAGCTTCAAAAGAAAGTATTTCAACAAGCATTAAGAGGAAAATAAGGTTGTATCCCTCTACCCTTTAGTATGACTGCAAACGTAATATACGTTTACCCCTAACTAAAATAATCCTGAAGTACACACTGTAAAGAGCACCAGGACCAACACCTCCTTCAGGAGGGAAAGCCAGTCAACACCCTTCCAGAATTCTCCTCTGAGTGGGGATGTATGGTTTTTACAAATGTACCTTGGCGGTTATATATGTGTGCACACGCGCACACCTCTATGCCACGGCATCCCACTTCCACACGGCTATGCCTCTGTGCCCCATCTGGGAGAAGGCACCATGCATGCCCAGCCCTGGGCCTTTCTCTTTGGGATGGACAAGCCTGAAACCTTCGCTCCTCCCAGTAGGGGAAGCAGACCACTCTCCCCTGGCCTAAGGACCAAAAGTCAGGCTTAGTTTAGTGACTTCATTGGTTAATCTAGGGATCTAGGGCAAACTCTTTTTTTTTTTGGAGACAGAGTCTCGTTCTGTCGCCAAGGCTGGAGTGCAGTGGCGTCATCTCGGCTCACTGCAACCTCCGCATCCCAGCTTCAAGCAATTCTGTCTCAGCCTCCCAAGTAATTGGGATTACAGGCACCCGGCAGCATCCCTGGCTAAATTTTTTTGTATTTTTAGTAGAGAAGAGGTTTCACCATCTTGGCCAGGCTGGTCTTGAACTCCTGACCTTGTGATCCACCCGCCTCAGCCTCCCAAAGTGCTGGGATTACAGGCGTGAGCCACCATGCCCAGCCAAGGACAAACTTTTAATCTCCATTTATCTCCCAAGTGTCTCCCTACTTGGATGGAGAATAACAGTGATATTTACTGGTCCCTAGAACCTCAGCACACAAAATGGGTTGCATCTCTTGTGAAGCTTGCCTTTCAGCCCTTAGGGTATACTGTGATGTCTACGTGAGCACAGGATGAAGGTGAAAAGGACATGGACCAAACAGTTAATGTACAACTTCCATTTATAGAAAGTAAAAAATGACTCACAACCATTTTGTTTCTGATTACTATTAATATTTAAAAGCACTAAATGGGCCAGGCACAGTGGAACTCCTGACCTCAGGTGATCCGCACGCCTCAGCCTCCCAAACTGCTGGCATTACAGGCGCGAGCCACAGCGCCCAGCCTAACGTAACTTCTTTTATTTATTTTTTAGGTGGGGTTTTGCTGTTGCCCAGGCTAGAGTGCAGTGGCATGATCACAGCTCACTGCAGCCTCAATGTTCCAGGCTCAAGTGATCCTCTGATCTCAGCCTCTCACACTTGGCTAATTTTTTTATTTGTAGAGACAGGGTCTTGCTATGCTGTCCAGGCTCGTCTGGAACTCCTGGGCTCAAGCAATCTGGCTGGCCTGTTTTATTTTCTTGTATCATAAAGTTTCACAGGAATAAAAACCATGATAACCTTAGATATACAATATAATTTATATAACATTATTGCATTCTTTATTAAAAAGAAGGGCTGCCCAACAGTCCATATACTGATATACAACAATTTATTGAACCATTCTCTTTCTGGTGAACACAATTCTGGGCTCTTACAAAAACAGTGCTCTAGGCCTGGAGCAGTGGCTCATGCTGATAATCCCAGCGCTTTGGGAGGCCAAGGCAGGTGGATAATCTGAGGTCAGGAGTTTGAGACCAGCCTGGTTGACATGGTGAAACCCCATCTCTACTAAAAACACAAAAAAATTAGCCAGGTGTGGTGGTGGGCACCTGTGATCCCCGCTACTTGGGAAACTGAGGCAGGAGAATCGCTTAAACCTGGGAGGCAGAGGTTGCAGTTTGCTGAGATCGCACCATTGCACTCCAACCTGGGTGACAGAGTGAAACTCCGTCTCAAACAAAAAAGTGCTCTAATGGGCAGCCCTAAGCACACACAGGGGTAAGACTGCCTAGAGGATGACAAGTGCCATGCTGGAAAGCGGTTGGTTCCTTTTTGGTCTAGAGCCAGGATCTTAGCCTCAAGTCAAGGCTTTCAAGAATTCACTTGTAGAAGTGAAACTCAGAGACCACATAGAGAACTTCACTACTCCTGGGGGGCCCATGAAATTTATCTTGCACTAAGCTGCTTCTGTTTAAAATGCCAGTTTGCAGATATCCTAGTTATAAAAACAATATATGCAGAGCAAAGGGACTTAACTCAGGCGGGTCATCAACCACTTCTTGAGCAGGCAGAAAGGCGAAATCCAATCTGGACTCTGCCTACACCAAGCTCCAACACAGAGAGCTCTGTGGACAAGTTTACCTTTGCGGGTGACTTTGTGTCTTAATGAAAACCAGAGGAGGAAGGCCAAGTCCTTTATGAGGTCAAGCAAATTGGGGATGTAATTTCAAAAAGAAAAGGTGGGCTATCTCATTGGCACTAGAGACTTTTCTAAATGGGTCCTACCCCACTGCTAAACATTATCAGAGTTGAATAGTTAAACCAGCTGAGAGGCTATTTCAGAATCCGTGAAGCTTTCAGTTGTAAATGGTGAGCTGAGATTGCATAGGCCTTCTAAAGACACGGAAAACACCTTCTAATAGCTCACCCTGGTACAGTGAGCTACCTCTCTCCACTTTAACATCCCACAGTTGTAGTGTCCCTGGCAATCTTACCGGTTTCCACGAGTTCTATGGGCTCTGCTTCCAAGGAAATCTCGGGGGTGGAGGTTGCTTCCCGAGTTCGCTTCTGGGTTTGTCTAGAATTTATTGCTCCACCACGACGTTTTCTCTGAGTAGCAAGGGGGAAAGAATAGTCACATGAACATCAGAATGTCAGGGTTTCAGGAAGAACTAAAGGGGCAACAACAGAAACGGTTCACCTCACTAACAGGTCAGTGAGTAGACTTGAAGTTAGGGCTCCTCTCAAAACTTGAGATTCCAGAATACTGAATGCTTATACAGAGAGAAATCATCCAAGACATACAACAAGTAGAAATTCTAGAAAGTAAAACTTCTGTTTTATCAAACCATCAGCAGGTCGGCTTGGGGTGGTGGCTCATGCCTGTAATCCCAGCACTTTGGGAGGCTGAGGCAGGAGAATCATGAGGTCAGGAGTTCAAGGTTAGCCTGGCCAACATGGTGAAACCTCATCACTACTAAAAATACAAAAAGTTAGCTGGGCCTGGTGGCAGGCACCTGTAATCCCAGCTACTCCAGAGGCTGAGGCAGGAGAATCGCTTGAACCCAGGAAGCGGAGGTTGCAGTGAGCTGAGATCATGTCACTGTACTCCAGCCTGGACGACAATGTGAGACTCCATCTCAAAAAAACAAAAACAAGCCAGGCGTGGTGGCTCATGCCTGTAATCCCAGCACTTTGGGAGGCGGAGGCAGGTGGATCATGAGGTCAGGAGATCGAGACCAGCCTGGCTAACACGGTTAAACACCTCTCTACTAAAAATACAAAAAAAATTAGCCGGGCGTGGTGGCGGGCGCCTGTAGTCCCAGCTACTTGGGAGGCTGAGACAGGAGAATGGCGTGAACCCGGGAGGCGGAGCTTGCAGTGAGTTGAGATGTGCCACTGCACTCCAGCCTGGGCAACAGGGCGAGACTCCGTCTCAAAAACAAACAAACAAAAAAACCCAAAAAAACAAAAACTATTGGCACGTCAAAAGGGACACGATGCATCCCTTTACAAAAGCTTCAGGGCAAGTCAGGATTTGGACTTGTCGTGGATGCCCTGGCCAAAAGGCTGGAAACCCTTCCCTTTAACCAAGTTATCAATTTCTCTTCCCTGACTTTGTGTCCAGCCTTTCTGAGCCCTTTTTGTTTCTTAGCATAAAGAACTTGGAGTTTTCTGAGTTTCTATACATTGTGGAAAGCTCATCTTCCCCGGGGAAATGTGGCCTTGAACTTTTCAGGGTATTATCAACTGTGATTCACACCAGACAATCATCCCCCACAAAGAACTCAGAGAACCAAACCTGTTTTAAGGATGTTCCCAGTGGCTACCCAAGAGCCATGTCTTCCGGAAGGTTCAGGCTTTCAACTGGCTGATCTGCAACTGACGCTCTGACCAGCCTTTCTTCCAAATCCTTAGGCTGCCTTTTGCCAATATGCTCTAGCCATTTCTGGGCTGGCTGGTCCCAAAAGACGAGTTGAGAATACCCTCCACCTTAACCAAGAGACACAGCCTCCCAACAGAGCCTGTCGCCTTGTTATTCCCACTGTGTATTTCTGTGCTCTTCTCCCCTGTGCCCTGTCCTGCTATCCTTCACACTGGACCACCTGGACAAGTATTGCACTCCTAAGTCTCAAGTTCCCCACCAGTACCAGCCTTGAAGAACTGTTATAAGGTCTAAATGAGATCATGCATGTAAAGTACTACGCAGAGGTGGAATATGCTACTATGCCAATTCCTTAGCCTTACTAGGGTCAATCTGTCCCAGGAAACTCTGAAAGGACCAGATATTGCAAGTGAGATTCATACAAGATCTAGGAACACTCACCACCCAGCCAAGCCCATGCCAGGTAACAGGGATAAGCCTAATTATATCTGTGTTGCAATGCTACTCTTATCAAATGGCAGCTTGAGATGTTCTGGAAATGAAGCTGGGTCTAGCAACTTCCCACCGACTAAGGAGCACAAAAACAGCCCCAGGAGGGCCCAGAGGCCAAGTGACAGCAGCCATAACTCCCAGGTGGGCAGCTGCTCTTGGCCTCAAGTGAGCTGACAATAACCTCAGTGGAGTTCTACTGCCTAGTGTTTTAAGGGTTTCCCCAGCAGTTACTAGGTTACTTATGTAAAAAGTAGACGTTCCTCTTCAAAGACTTTCCTCCCCATCTAATTACAAATAAACAGTAACTTCTCTTAAAAGCAAAACTTACTCAAAGACCTGTACTAACATTAAATATCTGCTAGCCATAAAAAAGAAATCAATGTACTTTATATTCTTAGCTCCCACAATTTAGCCTAAATATTTACCCTAGCATGCTTATATCAGTCCAAGCAAGCATTAGATCATAGCCTGTTTCTCTTCCTTATTTAAAGGTTATTTTTACCTTTCTCAGCATTCCATAAGTTACTTCCTCATTCCTTTATTCTCCTCTGCCTTTGCCTCTTTTACAAAGTTCTGGCCAGGCGCGGTCACGCCTGTAATCCTAGCACTTTGGGAGACTGAGGTGGGTGGATCACGAGGTCAGAAGATTGAGACCATCCTGGCTAACACGGTGAAACCCCATCTCTACTAAAAAAATACAAAAAAAAATTAGCCGGGCGTGGTGGCGGGCGCCTGTAGTCCCGGCTACTCAGGAGACTGTGGCAGGAGAATGGTGTGAACCCAGGAGGCAGAGTTTGCAATGAGCCGAGATCACACCACTGCACTCCAGCCTAGGAAGACAGAGCAAGACTCCATCTCCCCTCCCCCCCAACAACAACAACAACAACAACGGCCGGGCGCGGTGGCTCAAGCCTGTAATCCCAGCACTTTGGTCAGGAGATGGAGACCATCCTGGCTAACACGGTGAAACCCTGTCTCTACTAAAAAATGCAAAAAAACTAGCCGGGCGGGTTGGCGGGCGCCTGTAGTCCCAGCTACTCGGGAGGCTGAGGCAGGAGAATGGCGTAAACCCGGGAGGCGGAGCTTGCAGTGAGCTGAGATCCGGCCACTGCACCCCAGCCTGGGCGACAGAGCAAGACTCCGTCTCAACAACAACAACAACAACAACAACAACAAGTTGTAAGTTACTAACCAATTGGGACAAATACAGAATGTGAGGTCCCATTCCAGCCAATAAAAACCGAACACAGCAATAGGGTAAACACACCAAGTTATAAATAACCCTGTCTCCTTTATTCAATGTACTCTCACGGCAAAACTACTGGTGAGTGTACCCTTTCTGCAGAAAGTATAAAAATGGCCTTGCTGGCCGGGCGCGGTGGCTCAAGCCTGTAATCGCAGCACTTTGGGAGGCCAAGACGGGCGGATCACGAGGTCAGGAGATCGAGACCATCCTGGCTAACCCGGTGAAACCCCATCCCTACTAAAAAAATACAAAAAACTAGCCAGGCGAGGTGGCGGGCGCCTGTAGTCCCAGCTACTCGGGAGGCTGAGGCAGGAGAATGGTGTGAACTCGGAAGGCGGAGCTTGCAGTGAGCTGAGATCCGGCCACTGCACTCCAGCCTGGGCGACAGAGTGAGACTCCGTCTCAAAAAAAAAAAAAAGGCCTTGCTGAAAATATTAAATTTATGTTCAAATGCTATTTTTTTACAGCACCGGAAAACAAGCATTTCAAACACTTAGGACTCTTTAATATTTACCCCATTCTCATGGATCACGAGGTCAGGAGTTCAAGACCAGCCTGGCCAAGATGCTGAAACCTTGTCTCTACTAATAACACAAAAAGTAGCCAGGCCTGGTGGCACGCACCTGTAGTCCCAGCTACTTGGGAGGCTGAGGCAGGACAATCACTAGAACCCGGGTGGCAGAGGTTACAGTGAGCCAATATTGCACCTACTGCACTCCAGCCTAGGCGACAGAGCATGACTTCTGTCTCAAAATAAATAAATAAAAAATTTATCCCATTCTCTTTGATAATGTCCTTTGTCCTTGTACCCTCCTTCCCTTGTAGCTGACCAAGTCTTTTTTTTTTTTTTTGAGACAGAGTCTGGCTCTGTCGCCCAGGCAGGAGTGCAGTGACACGATCTCGGCTTACTGCAACCTCTGCCTCCTGGGTTCAAGCAATTCTCCTGCCTCAGCCTCCCGAGTAGCTGGGATTACAGGCACCTGCCACCATGCCCAGCTAATTTTTTTTGTATTTTTAGTGGAGATAGGGTTCCATCATGTTGGCCAGGCTGGTCTCGAACTCCTGTGATCCACCATGCCCAGTCTGTAGCAGACCAAGTCTTTCTTACTAGACACTGCTAAGCAGACCTTCATGTCCCACAACTACCTGTGTGGTTTCGGGGCCCCACTGAGGGAGCCAAGAAAGCAGCCATGGGTCCTGGACCCCAAATCTCCCCTCATGGATAATTACAGGAATGTCCCCACCCCTCCCTAACCTCAGGAATCCTCTTTCCTGCCTGCTCTATCGACCCCTCCATGCCTTTATCCAGAGCTTCTTCCCTGCCTGGAGTACCCATCCCTCCCTTTCTTCACTTGGCCAATTCTTGCCCAGCTTTCCAGAACCCACTCAAATGTTACCTCCTTCCTGAGGACATCCTTCACCCTCCCACTCTGCTTTCTCTGAGCCCCCTCCTCCCCCCAAGTAGCTTCCCTGCACCACTCAAGACAGTCTCAATAAATCCAGGAATATCTGCAGAACTCTCCCCTCTCGCCCTCCCATAATTCTGGTCATAACTCTTCTCCTTTTTACTAGCAGGGCCCTCAGAGGTCCATAGCTTTTGGTGAAAACTGACCATCCAATCACAACCACATAAGCTATAACCACACCATAACTTTCAGGAATTTTAACCAATTTCTTCACACACACTCACAAAAGGCTACATTGTTTTGCCTGTTCTGATCCAGCCTAAGCAGAGATGGGGCTTCAGAGGTAAGGCTTAGAGCACCTATTTCCCTATAGGTGAGCTACGTGGTAACCTGCAGGTGAAGCACCAAGGTGGGAGGTCAAAGAAGCAGGCTTTTTTGTGTATCACCATCAAAAGTGGGTCCTGGAGCAAAATGGGGGCCAGGAATGGCCAGGAAGTAACAGAAGAGGGTGAGCACTCAAATGACTCAGAGGGTGTGACCAGCATTTCCATGACCGTTCCCTCTGAGAGCTGTTTGTTCAGCCTCATCCTGCCCCCACCATCCATCTTCCCATACCATTCACAGCATCTCTGGAGCACTGGAAGAAATCAGCAGGCTATTTCACATCTGGTCTGTCTGACAAGGAATTCAGGATCTCAGACAACAGTTGTTTTAGAGTTTAGATCATTTAAACCACCTTGCAGTGGGAACTCTATCAGTAGGGAATAAACTGGGACAGGGGGACCTTCAGGCAATCTCCTCTAGAGCTCAAGGGGTTCCACGTGATACCTGAATTACACCAAACCAGAGCTGCCTCACAGATGCAATAAAAGCTCTAAACAGTCTGGATATGGTCACTCACTTTGGGAGCCTAGGTGGGAGGATTGCTTGAGGCCAGAAGCTCAAGATCAGTCGGGGCAATAAAGCAAGACTCCATGCCTACAAAAAATTTTTTTTTTTTTTTTTTTTTTTTTTGAGACGGAGTCTTGCTTTGTCCCCCAGGTTGGAGTGCAGTGGCGCGATCTCAGCTCACTGCAAACTCTGCCTCCTGGGTTCACGCCATTCTCCTGCCTCAGCCTCCCGAGTAGCCAGGACTACAGGTGCCTGCCACTATGCCCAGCTAATTTTTGTATTTTTAGTAGAGACGGGGTTTCACCGTGTTAGCCAGGATGGTCTTGAGCTCCTGACCTTGTGATCCGCCCACCTTGGCCTCCCAAAGTGCTGGGATTACAGGTGTAAACCACCACGCCCAACCAATATTTTCTTTTCTTTTTTTTTTTCTGAGACGGAGTCTCGCTCTGTCACCCAGGCTGGAGTGCAGTGGCCGGATCTCAGCTCACTGCAAGCTCCGCCTCCCGGGTTTACGCCATTCTCCTGCCTCAGCCTCCTGAGTAGCTGGGACTACAGGCACCCACCACCTCGCCTGGCTAGTTTTTTTTTGTATTTTTTTTTTAGTAGAGACGGGGTTTCACCGTGTTAGCCAGGATGGTCTCGATCTCCTGACCTCGTGATCCGCCCGTCTCGGCCTCCCAAAGTGCTGGGATTACAGGCTTGAGCCACCGCGCCCGGCCCCAACCAATATTTTCTTAAAAATTAGCCAGGTGTGACGGTGCATGCCTATGATCCTAGCTACCCAGGATGCTGAGGTGAAAGGACTGCTTGACTCCAGGAGTTGGAGACTGCAGTGAGCTATGATCACACCACTGCACACCAGACAGGGAGACAGACAGAGACCCTGTCTCTTAAAAACAAACAAAAACTGCTGGGCACAGTGGCTCATGTCTGCAATCTCAGCACTTTGGGAGGCCAAGATCACTTGAGGTCAGGAATTTGACATCACCCTGGCCAACAAGGTGAAATCCCGTCTCTACTAAAAATATAAAATCAGCTGGGTGTGGTGGTAGGCGCCTGTAATCCCAGCTACTCAGGAGGCTGAGGCAGGAGAGTTGCTTGAACCCAGCAGGCAGAGGTTGCAGCGAGCCGAGATAGTGCCACTGTACTCCAACCTGGGCGACACAGAGAGACTCCATTTCAAAAAACAAACAAAAACAGCCTGGCCAACATGGCAAAAACTGTCTCTATTAAAAATACAGAAATCAGCTGGGCGGGGAGGTGCACGCCTGTGATCCCAGCTATGTGGACGGTTGAGGCACAAGAATCACTTGAACCCAGAAGGTGAAGGTTGCAGTGAGCCAAGATTGGGCCACTGCACTCCAGGCTGGGTGACAGGGCAAGACCCTGTTTCAGAAAATAAACAAAAGCTCTAAACAGTTATTATAATGACGAATCAACTTTGGTCACAGAATATAAGAAACTTTTCACTATGGATCATTACTATCATGCTCACAATGAATGAACCAAGAACGTCACAGAGAAACAAAATAGAAGGAAAAATGGAAAACTGGGTGGAAAGACTTTTATAGAGACAGGGTCTCACTGTGTCATCCAGCTGGAGTGCAGTGGTGTCATCATAGCTAGCCTTGAACTCTTGGGCTCAAGGAATCTTCCTGCCTCAGCCTCCCAAGTAGCTGGGACTACAGGTGCACCCCACCACGCCTGGCTCAATTTTTTTTTTATTTGTTTGTAGAGATAGGGCCTATGTTGCCCTGGGTGCTCCTAGGCTCAAGTGATCTTTTACCTTAACCCCTCCCAAGTGTTGTGATTACAGGTGTGAGTCACCATGCCCAGTCTACAAATAATTTTAAAAAGCAAAAAGTCTTAGTATTTCCATGACGCTGACGACTGCTGTGAAGGTCTGAGATTACCAAACCCTAAGTTATTCCTTCTTAGCCTTTTGTCTTCTGGGCACTGCCCTTTATGACTGGAATTTAGTTCAGTGTCGATAAGTGAGCTGATGTAACTACCAGAAAGATCCTATACACACTCCTTCAAGAAGTGGGGCTACTCTGAAGTGCCATTATGGAACTCACTTTCATTCATGTGCTACAAGGAAGAAGGTAGTTAATTAGCCCTAAAAAATCACAAATTCAAGAGATAAAACTTACTGTACTCATTGTGCTCTTTGGTGCCAACCTACAGGAGAGGAAGTGATCTATACCAAGGTTTGCAGGGAAGTCAAATGTTCTCAACCTTTCATGCCGTTTGGTTACTCATCTGGCTTGCAAAAGAGTTTGGATCCGGACAGATTTCCAGTATTTTCAAGTCCTGAAAAACAAAGATACTGATTTGATAAATGCTGCCACTTACATCACTGAAACAAAGCTCAGCTCGATAAAGTACTGGTCCTTTCTGTCCCTAGGTTCTTTGCTGAATATGTTACGCAATGACATCCTTAATTCTATATTCATCTTAGGAAGCAAGCATTCTTGTTGCATATAGGACTTCCTGATCCCAAAGTCTGCAACTGTAATTATTATGCTACCTCCTTTCTGGCTCCTGCCATCTCGGCAAGGTACTGTGCTAATGCCTGGGAAGAGGTGCAAGTCAGGACTGCCACACACGACCACACCAACTCCTCAGTAACCGTAACCGGAAGGGAAGGGAAAGAGCTTCTGAGGCCAAACAGAGCTCAGAGCCTCAGGCTCTTCCCACAATTTCACTGTCATCTAGAGTTGAGGAGACAAGAGCCATTCACTCTAAAGCACACTGTGTGTCCAGCTGAGACTTCTGTTGCTGGGACCAGGTGAATGGTGAACCAGGAGACTGTGGACTAGGCAGCCAAGTAGAAGCTTTGAGCAAAGGCAGAGAAATCACCAGATGCAGAGGTTGAGAGGCCCTTGGATTTCACTGAGAAGTGAGGCTGAACACGGTAAACTCAGTGTCAGCAATGCAGTGGGTAATGGAGCCACAAGCCCTGAGCACAGGACAAGGCTGAGGGACTAGGAGAGAGCCAAAGCAAGGACAAGACCCTTGTGGTCACCCACTGCTGGGTGCTAGCAGCTTAGATTAGGAGAGTGCTTCTCAAGCATGAGCCTCAAGCATCAGGCTCCCCCACAGAGGGCTTGTTAAGCCCAGGCTGCTAGGCCCTCCAATTTACACATCTTAGTAAGTTCCCAGGTGCTGCTGTTCCAGAGACTACACCATGGTACATACTGAAGTAGCATAATGGGATGGAGTTGCAAAGCAGACACAGGTGAAAGGGATCCAGGTGGCGGAAACAACAGGAACGCTCTTCATATCCACCCTCTGTGCATCCCCAGTGCTGCTGCCGTGTCATCCTTCTCTGCACCATTACCATGCCTGCTCATGCTGGGTCTCCTGTCCCTGGGTGCACATCTACCCTACTGCCAGGCCATCTTTCCAAAACATTTGCCGCAGCAACTTTCCCTGGATCCTTATCAAGACCTAACTCCTAAGCATGGTGTGTGGAGCCAGGCTGGCACTGCAATCAGGGCACATCTCTTGAGCCAGGCAACTGGGATTGAAATCCAAGCACCAGCTGGGTGCGGTGGCTCACACCTGTAATCCCAGCACTCTGGGAGGCCGAGGCGGGTGGATTACCCGAGGTCAGGAGTTTGAGACTAACCTGGCCAACATGGTGAAACCCCATCTCTACTAAATAATATAAAAAATTAGCCGAGAGTGGTGGTGGATGCCTCTAATTCCAGCTACTCTTGAATTAGGCAGAAGAATCTATTGAACCCAGGAGGTGGAGGAGCTGAGATCACAGCATTACACTCCAGCCTGGGCAACGAGAGCCCAACTCCAAACTCCATCTAAAAAAAAAAAAATCCAGGCACCTGAACCCCAACCTGTGACCTTGGGGCATGGCACTGAACTTCTCTGTGCCCCATTTCTTGTCTATAGAACAGAACTGCACCTACCTCAATGGTGTGTAAGGATTCCAGAAGTTATTAGAAGAGAGTGTTTGGAGCAGTGCAGACACACTGTAAAGGCTCAGGGTCTATGGGCTGACACATACCCATCACCACACTCAGCCCCACAGCACAGGCTGACAGTCTCTCCAAATTCACCTTTCCAGTGCCCAGCTCCAACCTTCTGCTCAAGCCCTAAAACGCTGTGTGATATCACATCCCACTGTTTTGTTTTGTTTTGTTTTGTTTTTGCGACGGAGTCTCACTCTGTTGCCCAGGCTGGAGTGAGTGCAGTGGTGCAATCTCAGCTCACTGCAACCTCCACCTCCCAGGTTCAAGCGATTCTCCTGCCTCAGCCTCCCAGGTAGATGGGATTACAGGCGTGTGCCACCACACCCAGCTAATTTTTCTACTTTTAGTAGAGACGGGGTTTCACCAGGTTGGTCAGGCTGGTCTCAAACTTCTGACCTCAGGTGATCCACCTGCTTCAGCTTCCCAAAGTGCTGGGATTACAGGCATGAGCCACCACGCCCGACCTCCCACCCAGCTTTAAGAAGGGGCTGCATACCTCCCTGCCTCATTCATAGTGGGGATGTAGAAATGCAGAAATGTACCATCCTGGCTAACACGGTAAAACCCCGTCTCTACTAAAAAATACAAAAAACTAGCCGGGCGAGGTGGTGGGTGCCTGTAGTCCCAGCTACTCGGGAAGCTGAGGCAGGAGAATGGCGTGAACCCGGGAGGTGGAGCTTGCAGTGAGCTGAGATCCGGCCACTGCACTTCAGCCTGGGCAACAGAGCGAGACTCCATCTCAAAAAAAAAAAAAAAAAAAATAAGAAATAAATGCAGAAATGTAGAAATGCAGAGTGAAAGGAGACCTTAGGGGTCATGGGAAAGTAGCCCTCACCAACTACAAAGGGTTCTGGATCATGTAGGTGAGAGTCCAGTGGAATAAGAAAACTAACAACAGCTGAGATGTGCCTTCTATGCATCTGCACAAGGCACTGTGCTTCCCAAATATTACCACATGTGCTCCTCGTATCACCCAGTAGGGAAACAGGCACCGTTATGGTCCCCTTTTTACACATGAAGCAGCTAAGGATTAAAGTTAAGTAACTTGCCCAAAGTCGTCCACACCTAGTAAACAGAGCCTAGACTTAAACCAGGGCAGTCTGACACCAAAACCTGCACCCTCAAATAGGTATGTTAGTGCCAGAATCAAATACATCAATTCTAGAAACTAGCTGGAACACTGATGGTGATTTTTCAGATATCTCAAATTTAGTGTGTTCCAAAAGGAACCCATGCCTCCTCCTTCCGCCAACATACACTCCATTTCAGGAAAGGGCCCCACCATCCTCCAGCCTCTCGTCCAGGATGCTCTCACTTACACAAGTGCTACGAGGACAGGGCTCGATTTACTTTGTACCTAGCTAAGACCTTACACAAAGCGGATGCTCACATTTATTGAAGGAATAAATGAGGGTAAGAGTGGGGTGCTGATGGCACCCCCGCCACTAAGAAAAGAGGAGCTGGGGTAGAGAAGTGGTCATTCCTGACTGGGGATGGTCAAGAGAGCCCTAAAGTTCCAAGGTGAAAGGAGAAACAACTCATGTCAAGGTTATCTAGCTTCTTACCCTGCAAGAGTGATACCACAAAACCCAACAAGGGAAGGGAGAATAGAAACAGGAGCTGAGTGTACTTTTAGAAAAGTGGGGTGTGAGATACCCAGGGAGAAAGGGCCGAAGGTAGCTGGAAACTCAAGAGTGAGAACTGGGATGGACGTAGAGATTTCAGAATGTGTGAAAACTTGGGGAAGCAGGTAGATAGAATCTGTAAAAGAGAATTTAAAAGAAACAAAGCTAGGATAACCTGGAGCTGTCACTTAGACAAAACCTCCTTCTTCAAGGAGGAAGAAGCAGTGAACAGCTGCAATGCACAGGCTGAGGAACTAAAAGGCAGCCAGTGAGCTCAGACACGGAAGTGGGACACGGTGACCTAAGCAAGTGGAAGCCGCAGCAAAGGAGTTGCAGTCCCAGCCTAACTGCACTGAGGATCAAGCTGGGCTGTCTAGAGGAAGCGGCACTGAATGGGGCCTAAAGTGACAGGAGGTGTCAGTCAAGAAACAATGTACGTGGGTGGGGTGGGCGGAAGGAAGAGGGATGTCCCAGACAAGCACTGTGTGGAGGTGGGGAGAGAACTGAGGACAACAAAGGTGCTGAAGAGAACAGATGGGAGACTGAACAAGTCAGACGGTAGACCAAGGAGGAGATTCAGGGTAGACCAGGCATGAAGAAAGCCGTGAGGCTCAGGGGTAGTGACAGAGTATAGGACAGAGAGGTGACTGACAGGGTGGAAGTTGGGGGGGCTTCGGGGCTTTCTTCATTCTTATAATTTATTATTTAAGGTCTACGTAACTATTCTCTTATTCTTAGAGGATCACCCCCACATAAAGCTATTATAAGCACTTCAGATACTGACCCCCCCAACTCTAGCAGGAGTATGACATTTAATTATGTATATTTATGGTATATATGTATATGATGTGCAGATGCTCCTTGACTTACAATGAGGTTAACTCCCAATAAATCTTAAGTTGAAAAATCCTAAATAAAACACTGTAAATTGGCCAGGCGCAGTGGCTCACGCCTTATAATCTCAGCACTTTGGGAGGCCGAGGTGGGCAGATCACAAGGTCAGGAGATAGAGACCATCCTGGCTAACACGGTGAAACCGGGTCTCTACTAAAAATACAAAAAATTAGCCAGGTGTGGTGGCGGCGCCTGTAGTCCCAGTTACTCGGGAAGCTGAGGCAGGAGAATGGCGTGAACCAGGGAGGCGGAGACTGCAGGAAGCCGAGATGGCGCCACTGCACTCCTGCCTGGGCAAGAGTGCGAGGCTCTCTCTCAAAACAAAACAAAAAACAAAAAAAAACCCACTGTAAGTCAGAGACTGTGTATTCATATGTGCATGTGTCTCTATCATATATAAGAGAGTCTGCTAATTGACAGAGACAGACTGTCAGGCGGGCAGGAAACAGGAAGAGGGTTAGACTGGAACCAAATTCTACGACTGTATCTCATATCACTGTATTCCTATGAGCAAAGAGTGAGTCAGCGGAAAAGGGGCAGTGGGGAGCACACCAGAACCAGAATGATGCTGTAACTCTGCAGCCAGTCCACGGGGAGATGCTCTAATGAGAAGCTCTTCTGTTTAGCCCAGCCCTACATCAGGTACACAGAACCCTCAAATCCTGCCTGGGAGGCAGGGTCTGATACAATCACCCACTGAAAATAAGAGACCTGGGCTGGGCATGGTGGTTCACGCCTGTAATCCCAGCACTTTGGGAGGCCAAAGTGGGCAGATCACCTGAGGTGAGGAGTTCGAGAC